TGCATCAGGATGTATGTCAATAGAACCGTTAGGGCAAGGAACACAAGGGTACGGAGCATTGTGACATCTTGGACAGTTGCCTTGTATATCAAGGAATTTGATATTTTCTAACCCTTGAAAATCATCTTTATATATGTTCTCTATTTTGTTGGTATCCAGACGTAAGATTGTAATTGACTGGGGTAGTCCTTTAGGAACATGGGTTAAGTTGTTATAAGACAAGTCCAGGTATTTCAGTTTTTTCAGTAGTGCAAAAGTGTTTTCGCTGATAGCGACAGACTTCCCACAAGGGTTGCGGAAGTAGCAGTTTTTAGATAACAACAGCATTTTCATGTTTTGCAAGCCAATAAAGCTATTGTTCAGTTTATCCATATTAACTTTGTTAATGTTTAGCTCAAGTCTTTCCACACTGTGGGGGAGATTGCGTGGAATTTCAGTCAGACAGTTGCCGCTCAGTCGTAGTTGCTTCAGTTTTGTCAGATTTTTGAAAGCATTTTCAGCGATCTTCAGTGCTCGGCATCCATAATCAGTCTTGGTGTTGTTTGCCCAGTTGAGATTCAGATGTGCCAGATTCAGCAGATTAGAGAGTGAATCAGCTTTAATACTCCTAATGACATTTTCTGACAAGTCTAGATCAGTGGCATTAGTAGTTATACCTTTTGGTACTTCCTCTAGATGGCGGCCTTTACAGTCAAATTTGACCGTATTTGAAGCATTGTTGGATATGACATCACAAGGAAACTGCCGTGTCATCCAGATGGGTTTATGTTCAGCCAGCTGGACCTCATCATGGCAAAACAGACAGAACAACAGCATCCAGCATTTGGTAATCTGTGAAAAATTGATGAAATCAGTTAACTGAAATAATTTAAAGCTTTTGTTTTTGGTCATATTATTTGGACTGACCCTGAATCAGTTAAGCTATTCCAGGACCCCTCGTGCCATACTAGCGCTTCTCCTTGATTACATTGTTTTCACTTCCCATTTATTTATTAGCCTTGCATTTCTGCATGCATAAAGTTTGTCTCTACTCTTTCTCAGTATTTTCTCTTGTCCTGTTTGTTGTTTTGTGGCCTCTCCATATTTCTCCCTTCCATTCAGCCCTCAATCAGTACAGTAGCAGCAAATGGCTGCTGCTTCTTTAGCCTAGTTTACCCTCCCTCCTTTACCTAGTCCTTGGTCATAGAGTCTTGTCTGCTTGTTTGGGTTCTTGCTCTAATTTTGTTGAGTTTGTGCCTTTCTAAATTACATCAAGGTTCAGACTAATATTTTGATCTGTGAGCCCCAGATTATACACTCACTGCAGCAAAAGATGTTCTTGGCCCAATTAGACTGTAAGTCATGACATCCAAGAACTACAGAGATGTTTTGAGAGAAAACATATTGATAAGATAAGATAAGATGCCTATTATATATTATAGTATTTGTTTGAAATAAAATATGAAGCCGACTCGCATTCCACATTCATTATATGCAGTTTATTTTTAATTGTTATTTATTTAACTGTGATAAAAGGCATTTCTTTTTTGGCTCATGATGATTTGGAGATCTGGATGGCCAAAAGAAAACAACAACTCATTTGTTTGAATGCTTGCTGTTGGGCAGTTTTAAAGCTGTTCAAGTGCAAACAGGTTTAATCACAAAAAATACATTGGAATAAAAGATTTGTGGATATATACTGTAAGTGAATGAGGCCCATTGATGTTACAAAGTAAGCTTGAAGAAAATTGTATGTAAGTATGGCATCACTTCTACCCAGCAGGTGCCAATAAATCGTAAATCAAATTGTAGCTGGAAAGACTGTTCCTGTTTTTTGTCACACTTGGGAAAAATATTAAATATCAAAATTACTGAACAGTTTGTGTAATTTCTGACTAATTTTTAATGTACATTTTAATGTAATTGTCCAACAAATACCAAATACCAAAGGCCATTTCCAAAGTAAATTAAGTCAACTATACATGTTTTTAGAATCAAATAAATCTATGAAACATTTTGTCACCAAAATCCTGAAACTAGAAAAATAATCAAAAATAATACAGATAAATGAAATTAAAGCATATAAAGGTAATCAGCAATTTAATAAAATGTAAAAATGTAAGTAAATATAAAGAACAGAAACAAAATAAAACTCACCATTTTTTCTCCACTATATTGATCCCTGAATGACAATTTGGAAAATTATGCTAGTGTGCTTCAATTTTTTTTTCAATTGTAAGACTTGAAAGTTTCTTGTCTTTTATTAATGATTTCGTTACAGATGACCCTGTTTGTTCCCTTCAAGACAAATAAAAAAGAAACACGCTGTTAAAACTACATGATAAGCTGTGTGAGGGAAGTAGCCCGTTAATTGAAGAACTGCATCTTTTTCATTTCCCTCCTTCAAAAATGCCAGTTTATTTGTCAGCCAAGATGAACACTGGAATGCCAGTAAACACAGCAACAGTGCATAGTGCCAGTCAGTTCTTCAGATTATGTGAAGTAATATGGAGTTTAAAAATGACATATTTCTTAGACATTAATATGACATTAGTAATATATCGCCTCACACACTGATTTATTTTTGAGTGGGACACTGAATTTAGGGCTAATTTGCAAAATGCACTGTATTAAAACTGTGTCACTTGCACCACCTTACAGACAATCTCAAATATTTCCAAATGTGAAATAACAGATGAAAGCATGCAAGTTATATTACAAATACTGTGTCGATATGGATTTTTAATAATGGACTGCAATTTAGGATCTGTCACTTTTGTACTAAATTTCTCTTTTGTTAACTGTTAAACCTGGTACTGGTGTCACTCAGCACAGATGTTTTCTAACACAGAAACCAGAGACTAGAGTATAAAATCTACATCTGCAAAATGCCACACATTTTATTTTATTTTTTTTATTAATGCACTGCAGACAGATTACACAAGATTTATTATGCTTTCTCAGCAAATATAAGAAAATTTGTTTTTTATTGTTTTCTTATTAGATTCAGACAAAGAACAAATCGTTTAAAAGAACCAAATAAGCATTGCTCTAAAGACCAGTGATTTTAAAGCAGGACCATGTTATTGTCTGCAGACTAGAATTACAAATCAGTCCCAGGCAGATAAGTGATGATTATCCTTCTTCACTTGGTGGTGAAGCATTTTGAATAAGTCAATAACTCAACAACTATAAGAAAATTAGTTCTTAAAAACAGTTCAGTCAAAGAAGAAACACTTTAAAACCAAACGAGAAATTATATATAACACGTGTTTTAAAACAAACTCGTTATTATCCTTCTTCATTTGGTGGTGAAGTATTTTGAATAGGTCTTGTTGTACATCACTTGATTATCTACTCTTATGACAGTTCTCAGGTTTTGCCAAAACCAGGGCTCTGCGGCTGCTGTACGCGGCCACTCTACAACACTGCTCTCGCACAGTCGCTTCCTCAAGCGCAGAAAGTGAGAATGCTGTAGGACAGGCTCCAGCATTAGCAGTACTATCACATCCACATTTTCATCCAGCAGTCTTTGGTGGGCCAGATACATTGCTAGCTTGAAAGCACCGGT